GCCCCGCCCCGAAGCGGCGACGGAGACCCGCCCGCGGGAGGCGAGAGTTGCGCTCTGAGTCGCACGTGGAGCGCCCGCAGGCTCCGCCTTCGACCCAACCAAACGCCCCGGTGGGGAGGTGCAAGGAGTCGCGGGAGGAGCGAGAGGGGGCCCTCTCCCCCACTCACGACTCCAGAGAAGGAGGCCGGGAGAAGTCACAGTGTGTCGTGCGACTAGCAGAGATCTGGGTCTTTTCCAGCGGAGCAAGGGCCGAGGCTGGAGAAGAGGACTCTCACCCCTCCCCCCGCGTAGTTGAATGGCTCCCTCCTCCGCCCGCCCCCCGCTCCCCCGGGATGCCCCATAGCTGAGTACAGCTGGCCGGGGGCGGCTGTTTGGCCTAAGTACCATTCTACTAATTCAGAGCGACGGTGGGGAGGTGACTTAGAGGAGGCGGTCCCCCGCGGAGGCGGCTTCGTGTTGGCCTCACGTCCCTGCGGTCCTCGGCCCCGCGCTCACCTGCCCACCCTTCCCTTGGGGCGCCAAGCCTCGCTCCTACTGAACCCTGCCGCCCCAGGTCTCCAGGTAGACGCGACTGTGGTGGGTGTGCCTGGGACCCCGCCAGGAATTTTAGCCGCCCTGTCCGAGTGATGGCTGGCGGGGGCGGCGGATGAAGCGCAGGGCCAGGGGAAGATGTGTCAGTGCCACTCACAAGTCCAGCTTGGAGCGGGAGGTTTCCAAGTCCCTTTACATGGAGGGGAAGGAGCGATCTACTCCTCTGGTCAGTGGGCGCCACCGGGAACTACGGGCAGCAGGACCCGTGCTGGGCACTGGAGACGAAGGGAAAGGCGCATAGGTAGAGCTCCAACCTCTCCTAAGCTTCTGCCCCCTGTCTTCCTTCGACTTTGTTGACTCCGTGACCAGGGGCCAAGGGCGGCCACACATCCTCACCGGGCCTTTCACCAAAGGGACGGAGGGTACGTGGATGCTGTCTCGCCTGGACAGTTGGGTTGAGGAGACTAGAAAGCAGAAGAGAACTTGAGAAAACACACTCCCTAAGATCAGATTTATGGACGCCAACTTGACAATTGCCCTGCTCTTTTGATCTAAACAGCTAGAGAAAGTTAGCCTGTGCTGGTTGAACACATGCCTGTTTGTGTGCCTTGTTTGCATATATCAAAGGGAATTCAGTTTTGTGTTCCTTACAGTTGAAAACTCCCTTGGAATGGTTTCCCAGTTCACAGCTTTCATGTTTTAGGAACAAGGACATTAGGCTGGATATTAGGAATTAGGCTTTTAAAATATTTTTTTAATTGAAAAATCACCGAGAGCTTGTGTGTGACCAGTGGGCAGTTTCTAAGGCAGTTGCAGGTAATTTAAAATCATGACTCCATTATAGATAGTTGACCAAGCAGTATGATCAATAACTACATTTAAATATGTTGTATACAATTATATACTAACGAAATTTGATCAGTAGTAAGCAGTTGATCATAATGTGGACACATAAGAACAGAGGCTTGCACGCTTTTCCTCGCCGCATCTTTTATATGCATTCAAAATGAGTGCCTACTCAACACTGATTGCTAAGGTCTTATCTACACTAGAGTGATGTCTAATGAAATAATCCAGTGTTTTGTGGGTAAAAATAAATGAGTAATGTCTTAACTGTCATGGAAGATATTTGCTAATTCTGTTTATTTTCAGGCATCATGCAGGAGAATCTATGTAGCAGATAAAGAACCACATATTGTTAGATTGTGAAACATTTATCCACATGTGAAATAATTAGGTACTACTATAAGCGGGCCTTTTTTTCTTTGGTATGTTTTTAAAACTAGCTTTATGGTCTATAATTAGATTGTAGCAAAAATTTATGTGAATATTTTCAGAATTGTAAGCATATTAACCGGTATGCAATCCACAATAAAACATAGACTCTTAAATAACACATTTTGTAAACCAAGTACTTTCAATCGCTTTAAAAATCAGTCTTGTAACCCCTCTGTCACATCATGAAAGAATGTCCTTGGACAACAGCATCTAATCCATTAGTAGACAGAGAGCTGAGAAAGGGAGACTGCCTCACATTTTCTTATTCCATGAATTTCAAAATCCTTATGACAATAAGGAATACAACTTTCAGTAGATATTTGAAGTTCTGTTTTATGATTTCTTTGAACTTGCTAAACAGATTTCATTTCCCTATTAAAATGTTTCCCAATTAAGGAATATTGCCCATCAGTGACATCATTGTATATAGATTTTAAGATGTTTCTTTTTCTATGGCATTTAAATATTAACTCTATATTTTTGCTTTTAGTTTTTCTAGGAAAAAGTTATAAATTCTATGAATGTATTGGTGCTCCAGGCACAAGCTTAGACTTGGGGGTTCACAGAGGAAAAATATACCTGAATCATCTAAGGCAGTGGTTCTCAACCTTCCTAATGCTACGATCCTTTAATACAGTTCCTCATGTTGTGGTGACCCCCCAACCATAAAATTATTTTTGTTGCTACTTTATAACTGTAATTTTGCTACTCTTATGAATTGGGTGACCCCTGTGAAAGGGTCATTTGACCCCTCAAAGGGGTCACGACCCACAGGTTGAGAACCGCTGATCTAGTGGGGATAGACAACTAGACAAGCAATTGCAGTACACTTTAATGCTTGCAACAGTGGAAAACTGCCGTAGGAGAAGTGGAAGGCCTGCGAACTTTAGAGATGTCACCCAATGTTCCCTGTGGACTGAGATGGGGAAGGAGAATGGTTCGGAAGCCAGTTGGCTGAGGCAGTGGCTATCTTGTTGGACATTGAAATCACTTGATCAACTTCAAAGATTATATGTCCTAGGCATACAATGAATTGGTCTGAGAGGTAGCCTGGGCATCCATAGTTTTTTTATATTCCCCAGGCTATTCTAAGTAAGTGCAGACACATTTTTGGAGCTATGGGTTAAAGGTATCTGGGTAGAAAGCACAGAATGAGCAAACGTAGCAAGGTGTACTTTTAAAATGATATCATAGTCTCATTTTGTAATGCAACATTTTAAATATTGGTAAGGGGTTGTACAGGTTTGATGCAAGGAAAACTTTATGTAGAAAATGAAGAATTGTTAGCATTCTGATTTCTTTACAAATGTTTTCCAAATAGTAGGACAGTATGTCCACAATTAAAATGAGAATCTTAAAGAAACTTTAGTGCATTATGCATCAGTACAAAAATATAAGTGTCAATCAAAAAGTGTAATCAGTAGTTGGACATCTTGGCTTTTAAAGAATACTTTTCTAAAATTAAATAGCAGTCTTCTGCTGAAGGCTGTAATAAAGAAATTTGGTTCTGTTTTCTTTTTGATAATTGCTGAGGTTATTTTTCAAACAAAACAAAATGCATTTAAAGCAAACAATGTAATCTTAAGTCACTCTTACTCTAAGCTTTTAAATAGTGATAGAAGTGTTGTTTTTTGACTTTTAAATATAAGATAATCACAGGTGAAAACTTAAAAAGTGCAGTGAGATGGTCCTGGTTTCCACTGCCCCACATGACAAATGCCCTTTTCATTTTGCTCAAAAGACACTGTACAGGGTGCTGTAAAATTGAAACACCCAAAAGAGAATTCAGTGCTCAAGATTGGGAGAATCGGCCATTGAGTCCAGCTACCGTGGAGTCCTCAGGTTTTACAGTGGGTTAAGCATCAAGCACTCAGCTACCAGACAGGGTGGTGGTTGGAACCCAACTTCAGGCACCTGGCAAGACAGACAACCCGCTTCTGAAAGGTCTGCCTCTTCAACCCTATGACAGAGTTCTACTCTACCCATGTGAAGTTGGTTGTTGGTCGCAATTAACTGGATGCAACCAATAACAACAAATGAGTAGACACCAAGAGCCCCTAACCAGGAATATAAAGAATTGTTCTGTGGAGGCAGTACATCATCGGGATTGAGTTCCTGGAGCCGTCGGGTCCAGGAAGACAGGGAGATCTGGATGTAGACACACCAAATTGAACTATCTAATTCTGCACTTCTGGTGGACACATTTGGAGAACATATTTAAAGTAGGACTATGGATTATTTTTGTAATAAATTTTGGCTTTAGTACCAAAAAAACAAAACCAAACCCACTGCCATCACATGGCAGCCCAACACTCAATGACTGCACCACAAGGGCTCCAGTACAGCCTGTAACAATTTACTGGCAACATTCATATTTAAGGAACTACTATGTTTGCATTCTATTTTGCTTTAATTTCACCAGAGACTTCACATCCCGACTCCTGGAAGACTTGAATACTAGCAATGTTTCCCAAAGCGGCCCACACTGGGAGAGGAAGGGTGGGGGTGGGGGTGCCTGGAATGATTCAAGGAAACTTGCAAAAGCAGATACCTATACTTTATCCTGGATTATGGGCTATAATACAAAAGTTTTTAAATTGCCGGGATCAGGGCACTGAGTGATCCCCGCCCCGCCCACCCCCCAAAAGGGAGTGGTAGGCCAAATAAATTTTGGAACCTATGAACAAGTTTATTGACCCTGCTCCCAGGTTCTAGCACCCTAGACCAAGCCTTTCGCTCCTGAATAGCAGAGACCATTCTAAATGGTGCAGCAAAGGTATTAACTGC